CCTTATAAGTAGAACACTCATAATTATCCGCGCACCAAAAGCGGATCATCAACATAAAATAAAGTAAACAATGGTTATAAGATTTATGTCATTGTATTATTGTCAGAATTTGGATGGGATCCCTTTGGAAGTTATGAAAAACTCAGATCGCTTTGACAACAACCATGTTACTTTTGGGAACATTTAGCTGAAATTTCAAATTCAGATTTAAGCAGATAAATAATAGGTATATTCGCCTTCGCCATAAAACATATAACCATCGTCTGCTAAATCTTACGATTTAGCAGACGATGGTTATATGTACCGTATATGTACCAAATACCGGACCAGGGGACCGAGGGGGACTAACTATCTCTCTTTGTCCTGTCTTATATCTGTAGGCCTGGGCAGCTTCGTGAGGGTGGGCCCCGTCCATCGTCTACTCCGACCACAAACATGGCCGGTGTAGGCGCTTTGCGGGACCTCCTCTTATTTGCCCTGGCTTTCTTCGTGTCTTGATTTTTCTTTCTTCGCCGGCTTGTCTAGATAGAGGAGGAGGTTTTTAGGAATAGCTGGTAGCTAGGGAATGCACGCAACCTTTGAGTCGCGCCATTATTCTATGGCTAGAAATTGGCCTCAATGATTTGGGATCGAGGGGGATTATCCCTCTTTATCCTGCCTCATCTCGTGTAGGCCTGGACAGCCTTCGTAGGTGGGCCCCATCCGTCGTCTACCCCGACCGCAAATGCGGCCGGTGTAGGCGCTTTGTGGGACCTCCTTTTGTCCTGGCTGGGCCCCGCCGGCTAGGGCCCTTTCTTCTGGCGCTCTTCTTGCTTCGCCGGCTCGTCTGTGTAAACCCCGGGGGTAGTGTCATGTTTATGTGTGGTATGGTTGGGTAGGGTAGTGCGGCTATGCAGCCTGGGATGCGCTTTGCTAAGGTGGCCCTTAGGCTAGCGCGGGAGGGGAGGGTTAAGGAGGGTATGGGGGGTGTGTGTGTGTGTGTGTGTGTGTGTCGTTGTCTTCGTTTCTTGATCCTGGCTGTCTCTGAAACAGAAAAGGTTAGCGGGCAGGGGGGGGGTCATTGGGGTGGTCACCCAGGGTCAAAAAGTTGGTGTCTAGGTCTTTTGTGTTTGTCGGTCACGTCGGGTACGTAGTCAACGGCTTGCCTGAGGAGGGGATTGTCATGTCTAGCGGCTACGTCAAATCGTTTCTCCGCGTTTTGTCTTATTGTCTGTGTAGCGTTTGTGTATTGTAAGTCTCGTAATATGTCAGTGTTTCTTACGTACCAGGGCGCGTCGGTGGCCGTGCGGAGGGCTATGTTTTCCACAGCCTGTAATGACTTTAAGTGGCTTTTTGCCGCGTGACCCCACGCCGTGGAGGCGTAGGTTAGCTGCGGTTGAAGTACCACCTTGATAAGCGTTCGCTTATTCCTTAAACTGAGGGTGTTTCCACCTTTGAGTAAGGGATAGAGCCTAGCCCTGGTGGTCTTCGCTCGCGCCACCGTCTCCACGATGTGCGGTTTCCACGTGAGACGCTGGTCCATCGTCACGCCCAGGTATCGTGTTTGTCGATTCCAGGAGATGGGTTCCTGGGATAGTGTCAGTCTGTCGAGGTTTTGTGGGATTTTTCGTTTGGTAAAAAGGATAGCCGAACTTTTGTTGGGATTAATTTTGACTTTCCACCTGTTGCACCAGGTTTCAAGTTGGTCTAAGGAGCTTTGGAGGAGGTAGACGGAATATCTAGGATCTACGGATTGGGATGTGATTGTCAGGTCGTCGGCGTATAAGTATATGTTGGTGTTGGGGGGATGTGGGATGTCGGAGTTGTAAATGGTGTATAGGTGTGGGGACAGGACGGTGCCCTGGGGGACACCGGCCTCCATGGGACGGGTGGTGGAAAGGGAATCTTGGATTTGGATGCGGAATTTTCGGTGGTGTAGGTAGGATTTTATGAGTTTGGTAAAGGATATGGGATATTGGTTGGTGAGCATTTTCATCAGTAGGCCTTCATGCCAAACCGTATCGAAGGCCTTTGCGACGTCCAGGAAGACAGCACCAGTGTACTGTCCCCTGTTGAAGGCCGCCGAACCTTTGAGTCGGTGACTCGCGGGCCGGTGCGAGTATAGAGTACGTCAGGGTCATCGCTTGTCTAAGTAGGGGGTTGTCTTGTCTCGCCGCCGTGTTCATGCGTTTTTGGGTGTGTGTACGTATTGTCTGTGTGCAGTGTTGTTAGTACTATCGTACTAAATCTAGTACTTTCAAGCTTCATTTAGTACCATAGTACTCACCTGACTGATTTAATACCTTGAAGCATCTGACATTCTTATTATTTGCTGTGTGCGATATATGTCTTGAGGCCAGTTCGGCATTGACATCTAGATGCTCTAGATATAGCTCTGAGGGTTGCTTTCGCTGTACAGCAAGAATAAAACGCTCTCTCAACGGTAATAATAAAGTATTTTATTGAAAACTAAGTTGTATAGAAAAAGACGTGTTGACGGGGTAAGTGTTCGTTGAAGAGTACTTGTGTGTGGAGTCGGTCGTAGGTATATGAGTATGCATCTGGTAGCCGGCGCCAGTAGACCCTTCTTGGAACGCTGGTACGTCCGGAGGCGTCCTGCTGGCGCTCTTAACGTAATGCTTAAAAATGGGTCACTTGCGGCATGTGTACCCACACACCCCCCTGTCAGTATGGTTGCCATCACGGAACCTGCAGCCGGTCAGGGAAACGGACCCTTCTACCGGACGTAATGGTACTTGCCTTGGGTGTGGTTGGCACGGATAATGGGACAGAAGTTGATGGAAGACTATTGTTCTCGTACCTGGTAGCTGTCGCATCATTCAAATAATACGCAGGTTTTACTCTGTCTATGGACACAATAACTTCGCTACCACGCACTAGCACCGTGAATGTTTTGTCGTTGCGTTTGATCACTGTAAATGGACCATCATATGGATTCTGTAGTTGAGTTTTAACGCCGTCCTTCCGCAGCCGTTGGAACAGTATTTCCAGATGACGCAGGTGTTCCTCTTCAGACGATGAAGCTACAAGGATGTCGTCGATGTAAGCATGTAAACCTCATCGATGAAGCGTTGAAAGGTTTGAGCTGAGGTTTGCGTAACCCAAAGGTCATGTGCGTGAACTCAAATTACCCGAAAGGTGTCGTGATAACCGTCTTGGGAATTTCTTCTTCCGCGACGGGGATTTGGTGAAATATGCGGATCAGATCGATGGTTGAAAATAATTTCCTACCTCGAAGTGATTGTGCAAAGTCCTGAATATGTCGCACAGGATATAGGTCTAGACGCGTTCGTGCGTTAAGCCTATGATAATCGCCACATGGTCGCCATTCGTCACCCTTTTTTGGCACGAGATGTAAGGGCGACGCCCACGCACTACTCGAAGGACAGGCGATACCTAATTTTAGTATATCGTCGAATTCCTTTTTCGCTGCTCGCAATTTGTCTGGAGCTAATCTACGCGGCTTCTCAACGACGGGGGGACCAGGTGTTGTTTCGATGTAATGCCTGGTTTGGTGTTGTACAGCCTCAGAAGGAGCTGCAGGACGCGTAATGTCCGAATACTGCTTGAGTAGGCGGTGAAACACGGATTCCCCGGAAATCGTTCTGACTGAGGGTGTCGCAGAATGCGCGAGTTGGCCTGGAGACGTAATTCGCGTTGCTTCGTCAAGTAATCTTTTGTTGCGCACGTCCACCAGTAGTCCATAGAAAGATTAAAAGTCTGCACCAATTATTGGTTTAGAGACATCTGCGACGACAAATTGCCATATAAAACAACGACGCAATCGGAGGTTTAATGTCATTGTCACTGTGCCGTACGTAGCAATTGAGGTACCATTGAGGTACCTCCCCTCCCGCGCTAGCCTAAGGGCCACCTTAGCAAAGCGCATCCCAGGCTGCATAGCCGCACTACCCTACCCAACCATACCACACATAAACATGACACCCCCCCCGGGGTTTACACAGACGAGCCGGCGAAGCAAGAAGAGCGCCAGAAGAAAGGGCCCTAGCCGGCAGGGCCCAGCCAGGACAAAAGGAGGTCCCACAAAGCGCCTACACCGGCCGCATATGCGGTCGAGGTAGACGACGGAAGGGGCCCACCTACGAAGGCTGTCCAGGCCTACACGAGATGAGGCAGGATAAAGAGGGATAATCCCCCTCGATCCCAAATCATTGAGGCCAATTTCTAGCCATGGAATAATGGCGCGCTCTCTCACTCCGTAATGTGTGGTGCTGGAGGGGAATCACGGGGTCTGATTCTCAACCAATAAAATTACGGAGTGAGAGAGATAGCTTGTAGTTTTATTTGCTTTCTCTCTCGCACATCTGTTCGCTCATTTAGTATTGAAGGCTGCCTCTAGTAGGTATATGCTCGAAGTAATATCCAGTTCCTCTAAGGTCCAAGAAACCAAAATTTCATGGTTACTTACTCATTACAGCGCGCCATTATTTTGGCGTTAAACGTGGCCCCGTACTCTCCTTCTCACCTGCGCCACAGAATAAAGTAACAATCTGTACTACGGTTTTGTAGTTACGTTGTTTTACGTTTTACGTTCCAATGTAACCGGCTCGGTCGGTAGCAATTATTTCTTGTAGTAAGCGCCGCGCGCCATTATTCTATGGCTAGAAATTGGCCTCAATGATTTGGGATCGAGGGGGATTATCCCTCTTTATCCTGCCTCATCTCGTGTAGGCCTGGACAGCCTTCGTAGGTGGGCCCCATCCGTCGNAATGGTAAATTAAAAAAAGTTACTTCACCTGCAGCTATTTAATCAATTCAATTAGTACATTTTATTTGATATTAAAATCTAATTTAATTTTACATTATTAGAAGAAATATTTTTAATTTTAAAATTATTTATGTAATGGAAAATTCAGTATAAAAAATAAATAAATACATGAAACACTCAAATTTAAAAATCAATCTAGGGAATTTTAATTCAGTAACTAACTTCTGCGCCTTTAAGTTAGTGGCATAATATTAGTTTTGTCATTTGTCAAACAAAACATTAAGAATTTTATTACAATTTTTAAGGGAACATTCATAATTTCTTTTTTATTTAGTTGTGAGTAACTGATTAAAATTTTCTATTATTGAACATTTTTAGGATTTGCTACTTTTTTTTAAATATTTTGTGGCATAACCTTATATGACCTGTCAACTAATCTTGTTAGATATATTAATATTATGGTAAGTTTAATTAAAAGTTTTGTGCTATAATTTATATATTAATTATGTGAGTTTCAGATTGTATGTGGTCTCCTTTTTAAGAAATTCAGAAAGAGGCTGTTATGTATCTCAACATAATATCATCGGAAACATAATAATAATGAATAGAAATAATTATATTTAATAAGAAACCTAAAGATGTTCAATTCAGGGATTAAAGGAAATCAAAGGTAATCATTAAGGGATATAAGGCAATAAACTTCTTGATAATGTAAAGCTAAATGGCATAACACTTTCTTGCAGGTGTAATGGGCTAAAGACATCACCTGCTATAGATCAAATACTTAACGATAAGTTACTTTGTCATACGAATTATACTAGTAAAAACAAAATAGGAAATAGAGACGTATACAATAATAAAAATGATGAAGACCGAACATATGGTAAAGGCCCCGTGTATTTATCAAATTCTGTATATAATAGTAGTAAATTTGCAACCCACGTGAAATTAGAAACAGATGATTTAGATATTGCAGATAAGATTGGTTCCCACAGTATTATAGGTAAATATATTCGATTAAATATAGTAGCTTTAGAAAAATATTTTCTTTCAATGGCATAAATACTTATTTCATCATTAAAAAAACAGTTAATGAAATGTGAATTATGCTGTCATCAATTAAAATCTATAACAAATATATTTCTTACAGTACCATTGTGTAAAAGAATTAAAGTAAATTTCTTTATACAGTAATTAAAAATCGTATTTCTAAATCAATGTTTTTAATAAACGTCTAGTTATTATTATTTTACAATATAAATATAAGAAAAATACTTTGTTCAAGGTACTAGAAATAATATAATACTCAATAGATAAGTGATTTTTAATAACAATTTAATGATGAAATTTAAGGTTTAAGTGAATTGGGTGCAAAAATTGATGCACAGAAAGATCCAACGATAGTTAAACCAAGATATAAGAGAGGAAATATAAGAGAAACTCACCACGAAGTTCTTCAACGGATAGATTCTGAAACCGATGTTTACAATCATTATCAGCAACATTGGTTTAGTGCAAGTCTTGAGGTAAGTATATTAAGTTCTCTTCTTTCTTAAGAAAGAATATGAACTTAAATAAAAAAAAATTGTAGTGTAGTAGACCTCCGTATCTGCCATCTCATGTATATCAGAAACTGCGCATAGGGAACCACATGAGCCTCAAATTAATTATCAATTAATATTAAAAATACTCTGTTGTACATTATTTATTGCTACAATTATGTATAAGAAATATATATAAAAAAAATAGGTTCAGTAGGCTGTAAAGTTGTGTAAAATTAATACAAACCATTAGCAAAAACATATAAATTTTTAATTGATTTAAAAAATTTTAATTCAACTCATACACCACTGTTATCAACTCGGTTATCAACTTGTGAAATTTTAGTTGAACTTCATAGTAATAGACTGCACAATTAAGGGGTAATACAACCTTTGTACACAAAATCAAGGGTCATATTTGGAGTTTATTTTTATGAAAATTGTTTAACATAATGTAATTCGGTTGTGTGTAACCTGTTGATATGTCTTAAAGTACTTAAAAAAGTTTTTTAACAATTTTTTAGAAGCGAATCCAGAGTCTTTTTTTTTCGTGATCTTCCTTAGCGAACCTCTGTATACCTAAATCATATGTATTATTATTAAGCTACAGTTAAAATTTCAGAGCAATTGGTAAAAAATTGTTGTAAATGTTATAGATACGCTAATCTCAAAAAACATGGTTTTGAGAAAAATGCGTTTTAAATTGCAAATACTAAAATGTCAAGGAAATTTATTATTTACCCTTAATCTGTGAGGTCTTCTAATTGAACATTCTCTTGTTCCCGATCCTTTCTTGATGAAAGCAAAGCTCTGCGGGCTTGTTTTGCTTCTTCAGTGAGGGAGCCCACAGACCTAATGCAGATCTAAATTCATAAAAAAAATAATTTTCTTTTTACATTTAAAATTATTTTTTAACAAAAACATAGAAATTGCATATTTTTTATTTAATGCAGATATATTATGTATTTATGTATTTGGCAACTACAAAATACATAAAAAACATGTAAAAAAAATATTTATTTAATGTCATTTATGCACTTATTTAAGTTAACTCATGCATACAAAAAAAACTAGAAACAAATTTATTATATTATCTTTGCGTACATAGTGCATACATAGAGGGTGTCCCGAAATTCATGCAACAAAATTTGGTCATAGATTCTTAAGACAAATTTAGGGGACCTGTGTTTTTTTCTTTTTGCCAACTGGACCCGTCTTTCAAAGTTACAGCCCCCTGAAATCTGTCCCTAAGAAGTCTTTTTTATATCTCAAAACCATGTTGTACGAGAATCACTAAATTTGGTACACAGGGGTTTTATGACATGTGAAATCTCACAGTGCTACGCTTTTTGGTGAGAAACCCCCTTATGACCCCTTGTCTTTGAAACCAAAAAAATTTGGTCGCAAATTTGAATTTCTTGAAAATTATTAGTTACCTAGAAAGCCATTGAATTTAGAAACTTTTTTGTCTCTTGATATTTTTTTCGTAAAATGCAATGTTTTTGAGGAAAATGGCGAATTACGATATGCATTCGATCACATTTTAGTCGAGGAAATAAAGCACTAAAAACGGCCTTACCTCTGAAATCTGTGCAGTAAGATGGATTGTGATGCGGTTTTTTGGATTCGATTCGTTAGAGCGTCTAGAAAGTTTGTGACCCTATGTGATCAATGAGAAATGAAAATTGCATCGGTGCATAAGAAAAATGCATTTTTAAAATTGCATCTTGAAGAGTTAAGATATGAAAAATTTACAACTCGGAAAATATAGACGGAAATGAGTTCAATTTTACTACTCGGGGATTCTTGGGGTCGCTGAACACGAATATCACGACGGCAACGGTCTCCGAGGTACCTAATGCCCAGGGTGGCCGGTTTCCACGTCGTCTCCTGGAGTTTTGTGGAAATTCGTTATAAACTTAGCCGAAACTCGTTACCTCGGGGTTTTTGGGGACCTTAACACGAATATCACGACGGCAACGGTCTCCGAGGTAGCTAGAGCCCCAGGATGGCCGGTTTCCAAGTCCTCTCCTGGAGTTTTGTGGAAATTCGTTATAAACAGCCGAAACTCGTTACCTCGGGGTTATTGGGGTCGCTCAACACGAATATCACGACGGCAACGGTCTCCGAGGTACCTAGGTGCTTTAGGGTGGCCGGTTTCCACGTCGTCTCCTGGAGTTTTGCGGAAATTCGTTATAAACTTAGCCGAAACTCGTTACCTCGGGGTTTTTGGGGTCGCTCAACACGAATATCACAACGGCAACGGTCTCCGAGGTACCTAGTGTCCAGGGTGGCCGGTTTCAACGTCGTCGTCTGGAGTTTTCTGGAAATTCGTTATAAACTCGTTACGTTGGGGTTTTTGGGGTCGATCAACACGAATATCACGACGGTAACGGTTCTCGAGGTACCTAGTACCCAGGATGGCTGGTTTCTGTGACAACTATTTCATTCTTATTTATTTTTTATTATAAAAATACATTTATTCATTACAAAAAATACGTTTTGTAAAAATTATACTTAAATATCTTAACAATTTTAATTTTTCTTATTTAATTTTTTAATTTTCATTATTATCTTCTTCATCTTCTTCATCTAGTGTTTCCACTTCCGAAGAAAATATATCATTTGCAGAATATTTTTCATTATTCGTGCAATTAATGCCTGCACAATTTTTGCACGCGATGCTGCAGTTCAATCCGTGCTTCCTACATCCACACGAAGTTCCGCAATCGGTTTTGCACCCACAGAAAATCATATTCATGATCCTTGGTGGACCGTTGCTGTCGTGATATTCGTGTTGAGCGACCTCAAAAACCCCGAGGTAACGAGTTTCGGCTAAGTTTATAACGAATTTCCACAAAACTCCAGGAGACGACGTGGAAACCGGCCACCCTGGGCACTAGGTACCTCGGAGACCGTTGCCGTCGTGATATTCGTGTTCAGCGACCCCAAAAACCCCGAGGTAACGAGTTTCGGCTAAGTTTATAACGAATTTCCACAAAACTCCAGGAGACGACGTGGAAACCGGCCACCCTGGGCACTAGGTACCTCGGAGACCGTTGCCGTCGTGATATTCGTGTTCAGCGACCCCAAAAACCCCCGAGTAGCAAAATTGAACTCATTTCCGTCAATATTTTCCGAGTTATAAATTTTTCATATTTTAACTCTTCGAGATGCAATTTTAAAAATGCATTTTTCTTATGCACCGATGCAATTTTCATTTTTCATTGATCACATAGGGTCACAAACTTTCTGGACACTCTAACGAATCGAATGCAAAAAACCACATCACGATCCATCTTACTGCACAGTTTTCAGAGGTTCAGTGCTTTATTTCCTCGACTATTTTAACATTTTTCTCGAAAACATTGCTTTTTACGAAAAAAGTATAAAGAGACAAAAAGTTTCTAAATTTAATGGCTTTCTAGTGGACTGATAATTTTTAAGAAATTTAAACATGCGGCCAAATTTTTTTGGCTCCAAAGACAAGGGGGCCCACGAAAAATTGTCTTAAGGGGGTACCCCCCAAAAAAATGTAGCACCATCAGATTCCACATGTCATAAAACCCCTGTGAACCAAATTTAGTGATTCTCGTACAACAGGATTGAGAGATAAAAAAAAGATTATTCATAGGGGCGGATTTCAGGGGGCTGTAACTCCGAAAGTGGAGGCCACTTGGCAAAAATAAAAAATACGGGTCCCCTAAATTTGTCTTAAGAATCTGTGACCAAATTTTGTTGCTTGCATTAATTTCGGCACACTCTGTATACAGGGTGTTTCTTAATAACGTGCTAATATTTAAGGAGGTTATTCTTGGGTCCACTTTAAGAAAAAAACTTCATATGAACATATGTCCTAAAAGTCTTAACTTTTGAACTACAGGGTGCTAAAATTTTATGAAAAAACATGTTTTTATTATAACTTTGTATTACCCTAGATATTTTTTCAAATTTGATACACTATTCATCGAGATGCATTTTCTGATGTACAAACAATTTTATTATTTTTGCCAGTGGCATCTGTACAGGTTTTGTATTGAATATTTTTGAAAAAAATATGTTACACCACATTTGCTCAAAAAGGATTTCAAAAATGATTTTGTTTGTACATCAGAAAATGCATCTTGATGAATAGAAGGCGTCTACCAAATTTGAAAAAATATCTAGGGTAATACAAAGTTATCATAAAAAAATGTTTTTTCATAAAACTTTAGCACCCTGTAGTTCAAAAGTTAAGACTTTTATGACATATATTCATATGAAGTTTTTTTCTTAACCGTTTCACTGCTCCAGATGTATTTATTCGCTAAAAAATTATAGGGCTCAAACTGCTCCAGACGGATTAATTCGCTTGAATAGTTAAATTGGATCAGGCTGCTCAAACCGTATATATTCGCAACCGCATAGTGACTCGGTTGTTGCAATTGGTATGGGGAATTTTTGCGGGCGGAGTTTGTAGCGATTATGACAAATATTTTTATGAATGGAGGTACTGGTACTGATTGTTCATCTCTCTTTCAATTTCTATTTAGTACAGCTGTCGATATACTGTATTTTATTTATAATAAAATCGTAAAATTGATCGTAAATCGTAATTTAACACAACATAATGTAAAACTAAAAGTGATCTAACTGCTCCAGACGTATATGTTCGCACGCGATAAACTTCCGCACACGGCGCGGTAGCTACGTTCAAACGTATTGCGCAGCGAAAGGGTTAAAATGGACCCAAGAATAACCTCCTTAAATATTAGCACATTATTAAGAAACACCCTGTATGTATAGTAGTAGCAGTAAAAGGTATTAGTGATAAAATGAAACATCCTGGAACTACAGTATTGTTTGATATGGGAAAAATCAATTAATGTATCCGGAATATGAACTTCTGGAACCTCTAAAATATTACAGATCTTGACTAATAATATTCCTAAGCACTGTCTTATCTTTCAAATTATACAAATGAGCATAATATTAATTTGTCCAGA